AGGCAAAGCTCTCCCACATATAACACATATAAAATAAATAAATCTAAAAAAAGACAAGATTCTCCCCACAGCCTGCACTACGTCTTATCATCAAATTCAGGCAATACCCTTTTCCTCTAAAACAACTCCCATTAAATTTCCTAGATGGCAGACTAATTTGTAGGGTTCTTTTGCCATTTTCTAATATCTCCTAGAGATCAACTATTACCGAGGAGCCCTGTCTAATTCAGGCTCTCTAGGAGGGCCTAAGTGAAGGGGTAGGAAATTCTTTCATCTTCAATGGTGCAGGGAGGGGGGTAGAGGAGTGGGACTTTAGAGGGGTGGGGGGAGGTTGGGGGAGGAGGTAAGGAGAGGTGGAGGGGAGGGGAGGTGGTGGTGGGTGTGGAGGTGAGGTAGAAGGGTTGGGGAGGTTGAGGGGAGGAGGTGAGGACAGGTGGAAGGGAAGGGAAGGGAAGGGAGGTAGAGGGTGGGTGTGGTGACAGAAAACCCATTGGCAGAGTCAGATGGTGTTTGACTAAGGTGATATGAGCAGGAACGAAGAGATTTAGAAAAAAATATATTTGACATTTTACTTTTCAAATAAAAGTGCGTAAGTATTTACTCTGAGGGAAAAGTCTAAACTCTGCATTAGCTTCTCTTCTCTAGAAGTTGTGTGGCGTAGAGGTGTTTCCTTGGTCCCTCTCACGCACTGACCCCTCACCTGCCCGGCTCACCCCTCAGGCTTCCCACCCACATGGATCTTGGCCCTTCTCTTTGGGAAATGAATTTGCCCGAGGTGAAAGGTGTGCACAAAATAGTTGCAAAATGAAATATCTTGTCAACTCACCAAACAGGCTCAGTGGCTCGGGCTTCATCGGGGTCTGGGTCCCTCCGTGTGTGAGACTGGCCTTAAGGGGTTTGCCCTTGAGTTCAACTTTCTCTCCACTTGGTTTGATGCCTCTGAAACAAGACAGAAAGCATTTATGAAGCTCTTTCGGAGCACAATAAAGGCCTACAAAGTAATGGGCGATCTAGCTATTCACAAGAAACTAGCTAATTCTTAATGGGACATTCAAGCCCCCCCCAACTAGAAATAAAAAGATCAATTATCAAGAAGAGATGTAGAAGGATTTAGTGTGTTTTCTTTGCAGTTTTTACTGCTGTCTTTCAAGAATTCCATTCTCTCCAAGAAAAATAGAAACAGAAATTCTAGTATTTGTCTTTGTGGATCTACGTCTGTGCCAGTGACATGTGATATTTTATGAGTGGGTGCAAACATGTGTACAGGACTGAAGTGTGACCAACTGACATGTATATGTAGTTGGTGGGAGTATCTACTTGTGTTTCTGAGTGTGAAGGCAGTCTCGGCGAGAATGCCCATTTATAAATGCATGGCTGTTGGGAAGGTCCCCAACACACAATGAGGCAGATGCTAACAAGTCCACGGGTATTTCATTAAGTGTCCTGTTTTTCTTCTGATAAAGAAATGATGTGGGGAGTGGGGAGACAGAGGAAAGCAGTAGGGTTTTCCTTTTTGCTTTCAGTTAATAAATTTCAACAGCAGGAGTGCAGAATACTGGCTACAGAGTGTGGTGGAGTTAAACAGAATTCCTTTTGTGGGGCAGTAGTTACGCTGAGTACAGATAAGAAATGAAACCTTTCTGCCAGGAAGTTGTGCTCCGACTCCGTTGCCGATCTCTGTGTATGGTCTAATTACCGAAAGCTCAACCCTGGGCTTCAGGAGCTGAGGAGAGAAAGTCTTCTTTTAAGAGTGATTGACAGAAGCAGGGGCGGGGCTTGCAGAATTGGGGAAACCAGAAGGTTACTAAACAGGAGCTCTGCTCAGGTTTCCCCCATGAGTTCCAAGACACAAAGCATGGTTTGGGTGTGAGGCCAGTCAGTTTTCTGCAAAAACAACTGGCAGGGGGTTAGCCCAGTAAAATATTCTTTCTTCTGCTCCTTTGGCGAAAGGGTTAGCCATCTAATACCTGCTTGTCTGCCTCTTCAGAGGGCTTCTACCATCCCCTTCCCCCCACGGAAGCCAAGACTAATGGGCCACCATATGACCAACTGGAAGATACTGGTGCGCATGTTGGCGGAGTGCTTTGGGGCGCCTGCAAGGCCTGCAGGCACGGGCTGCAGAGGCAAGGGAGGGGAGCTGGCTACATCTGGGTGGGAGGGATGGACCCCATTGTCCTCCAGGCCTGGGGAGGATGCAGGGTCATTAGGTAGAGGATGATTCTGTAGCTGTTAGCCCGAGGAAACGGCTCACTTTTGTTTTCCACGCAGTAGGAAATGGACCTGAATCCATTAGATTCTGGGCAGTTCAACCCGGCACAGTTTGAGCCCTTGGAAGCTAGATGCCAAAAAGGCTACTTGTGTGGATTTGTGCCCCACCACCATTGTGCAGCACGCCTATCATTTACGCGTTTAAAGCCTGTCAGGCTGGCAGTGTGCAGCAGAGGGCTGGAAGACGGTAATGCCAACAGACACGGGGGTTGGTAAAGTGCACCTGTAGAGTTAAAAATGCATGACCCATTCGCTCTTTGAGGGAACACAGGAGTGAGACCCCTGTCCTGGCCGGTGTCTGCTGAGATGTAATACATAATTCACGGGCCCATGCTGCTCCATGCAGATGGCGGTATTAAATCGTGATTGATGCTCAGAGACAAACAACGTTCACCAAGGGCTCCAAGAGGCTTCGGAATATTACTGTGTCTCTTGCGCTCCTCTGCTCTAACCGTGGTATTAAGCAAACCCCACTATTTCCCAAGAACCCCTGCTAGGGACTGCAGAAGTTCCCTCCTGGATAGACGAGAATCTTGAAATGTCATCACCTACCTTTTCTGCCTTTGAAGGTTGTCCCTTCCCTTCTGACCCACTGAGGAGAGGGGGAGCCAGTTCTACCCCTACCTCTGCCTTTCCAGAAGCACCAGCACACTCTGGTGGCCACGGAGCCAGAGGGACGGTGGGGAGAAGCACAGAGAAAGCCAAGGCGTCTGTCTGTCCACCCAACACAAAGCACCGTTGTGGAAATGCTGAGATTGGAGCCTGCAGATTCTCTGATAGAGATTCTTCCACTGGGTGTATATTGAAATAATAAATCAAATCTGTGGGGTGTGTGGAATTCAGTGTTTGGGGAAGTCTTTAAAATAAGCTTTAATCACTCTCCAGAGCCTGTTTTGGCCCAAAGCTGAAAGTGCCGCTCTGCACCTCTTGTAATTGTTGCCAGGCTTGGGTTGGTACCACAAAACCACCATCGTCAGTTCCTGGAGCCCGGCTGCTGGCTGACTGTGCTGGCCTAGGAGACACCGAATTAAATGAAGGATTTACGAGACAAAGATAGAGATGGGAGGCTTGAAGGAAGAGAGGAAGATAGCCAAGAAAGGGAGACAGGAAAAGGCAGGGAGAGTTCTTAAGAGTACACTCGTGTTTTTATAATCTCCAGCCTTGTAATTGTAATTGGAATATTTATGACCTATGCGTGTGCGTGTGTGTGTGTGTGTGTGTGTGTGTGTGTGTGTGTGTGTGTGTGTGTATGGCTGGGTGGCTACAAGGAGTGAAGAGTTGAACTAATCTCTCCCACTGAATGAATAAATAGGTTAGTCTCTCCTGGGCTACCATAAATAGTAGTGGTGGTCACCGGGAGGGAGGCTGCTGGAACTTATCTCAAGTTCTCTGGTGGTGTTGCTCTCTCTTCCAGACCCACCCTGCGGAGGTCGACTGAATTCCAAGGATGCTGGCTACATCACCTCCCCAGGTTACCCCCAGGACTATCCCTCTCACCAGAACTGTGAGTGGGTTGTGTACGCCCCCGAGCCCAACCAGAAGATCGTCCTCAACTTCAACCCTCACTTTGAAATCGAGAAGCATGACTGCAAGTAAGTGCAACCCTTCTGTCTGGGGCCTCGTGCACCGGCCAACCCTTCTGTCTGGGGACTCATGCACCGGCCACCCCTTCTGTCTGGGGGCTCATGCATCGGCCACCCCTTCTGTCTGGGGGCTCATGCATCGGCCACCCCTTCTGTCTGGGGACTCATGCATCGGCCAACCCTTCTGTCTGGGGACTCATGCACCGGCCACCATCCTTATGTTTTGTCTTTTTGTCCACGAAGGGCAATAGTGGATCCCAGCCACAATGGGACACATAAAGATGACATTCCCTTTTAGGAGAAATAGGGTGGAGCTGATTCTATGGTATTGTGAAAACTTTGTGGAATAAGGTACAGAAAACAGTGGTGCCCTGTAAGGAGAAGTTGGCAGTGGAGAGAGTTTCCATGGGGGCGGGAAGTGGGCTACAAAATCCTACTTACTGGCTCTATGATTTACGTTTCCTTGGAGAGCTCCTGCATTTCAAACGTTGCCTTATTAGGGAGCCCTGCCAGCTTCCCAGATAAAATAGTAGCTGGTCCTCAATATATCCAGCATTGGGGATTGGCTTCTGAAGGGGCTCCCCGTTACTTAAAAAGAGTAAGAAATACTGACTTGATGGAGGCAGGTTTGAGACTCCAATTGATTCTTGATGTCTACACTGCCCAGGTTACTATCAGAGATGTGGGTATGGATTTGTTCTACAAACATAGTTCCAATTGCTTTACAAATAACTAAGCCGCTCGGTCCTCACTGTGGCCCTGGGAAGTCAGTGTCATCATGATCTCTGTTTTAACACCAACGCACAAAAACACAAGAGTGGTCAGCCACTCAAGGAGACTCAGATGATCTTAGCAAAGGATATCATCTTTGGAGACGCTGTGCTGTGGGGCGTGGGCGGGGAGCAAGCAGGGTAGTCATGCGGAGAACAGAGATGACAGAGTCGTCATCAAAGGTGAGAGAAGGTACCAGTGACAGTTTTGGTCTTTGTACCATAAGCCCCAGTAAGTGTTCTGTGTTTACTTTTTGGATAAGCATTCTTTACTGTGACCAAGAACTTGTGAGTCCTGAATGATTAATAAAGGGACAACTTGTGGGGTATAAGAGAGCAAGGTATAAGAGAGCAGGCGACACTCCTGGCCTCCATTGCAGAACAGGCTTCGGTCCAGGCCAGCACTTCCTCCTTAGGAAACTAGGCCTGTCTGTAACTAGCTCTAAACTCTAGGCCTGGTGAACTGTTGTCCTTATTACCCTCCCAGGACCACTTTGCACCTACAGAATGGTTTCCTTCTCACAGGAGGTAGTCCCTGTTGAAAACCAAAAGTTTCCCGGATGGAGGCTGCATGTGATCAAGAGTCACAGGATGGGATGGGGTTTCTAATTCCAGGGCCAGGCTGGCTGCCTGGGTGACACAGCATGTAAATTCCCCTGTGTCTGTGTTACACAGACACGCCGGACACATTGACTCAGCGTCCCTGGGCTCCCACTTCCCTAACAGTGGACTTTACAAAGACTTGGGGTTAGTACAGTTTCTGGAAAAGGTATTTTGGTTCTGGGAACCTTTGGCTAGGCTACAGAAGGCTGGCACCAGCTGAATCATAGGGTACAGGGTGCCTGAGAAGGAGCGCTGAGAAATTTGACTAAGCATCTCTCTGGATGGAGAGCCAAGTTCGGTCCTGCTGACACCAGCAGAATCTCTGGGGGAAATTGCTAAGAGACTATTTTATGGATATTCACGATGACAGAGGGAAAGGGCCGGTTTTTTAAGACGGTTGGGGCCCAGATATCAAGGAACAAAGCTCGAAATACATTGGAAAGACTGAAAGACTAAGGAAGCACACTCCAGCCCCAGGACCATCCCCCAGGGTGGGGAGAGCCTGGTGTGGAGCCTTGGTCAGCAGAAGGGACACAAACCTCACCCTTGCCGGAGCCTGAAGAGAGGAAACAGGCTAGTTACAGGCTATCTCCCAGCTTCTCTGCCTTCCTAGGCAGCTTCCTGTTTTCCTCTGCTCTCCCCATCCGTGCTGCTGGCTTCAACCTAAAAGGTCGAAGAGGTCAGAAAAAGCTCTTTCTGGAATCTCTTCCCCCAGTGCCAAATTGTCTGCAAGGCTCCTCTAGGGTTAAGCTTCTTCCACTTAGTCTTGCTCTCAGTCCCCCCCCCTCACTTCTCCACTTCCCAAAGTCTGTCTCTCTCGTTAGTTCTCTTAGTCAGAAGGCCATATCTGGTCTCAGTCTTTCACTCGTGATCATTTGCACGCAGAATAAGGGGCTTTCCCCTCCCAGCGCCTTCCTCTGCTCTCCTGGGGAAGAGCACTTCACGTCACACTCCTTGACTCCTCCCCCGACACTGGACACTGCATTTTTTTTCCTCCGAAGAGTTCCTGATAGCATTCGCTATCAGAAGATATCAACCTACCATTCTTTGCATCTTGAGGACATGTTCAATTGTCTACCTCAATATTGAAGCAGTAGCTCCCTCACCAAACAGAAATCTGCCTCCATTGCCCTTCTGCAGCTGGGCAATAGCTCTTTGCAGAAAGGGGAAATGAAGGCCTTCATGACTGCCCATGTTTTTTCTTCTGCCTTCCGTTCACGCAGTTAACTATAGAAATTGCCCTTTGACCAAAGACCAGGGCCCTGACAGGAAGGATTATTCTGGTGTGTGGTACCTAAACCTTTGTCTTTCTGTAGTATGGAGTCTCTACCCCAAATGTCAAGACTGTTACTGAGCAAACCCCAGACAGATCTTTTCCTGACCACTAGTTGTTCACTTTGTTCCACCGAAGCTTGCTGTCTGCTCGGAAAATTTCGCTCACAAGCGTCAGCCGTTCTGTGCCGGTGCAATCCAAAGCCACCCTCTCTGTTAGCTTTGCCTGCCTCCTCCCTCGGGGTATCCACAGAGAGCCAAACCCGGAGCACCAGCATGCTGTCCTGGGGACCTGGTAACAGCCACAGGCAGAAGCAAAGGCTGCTGTGGCATTGCCAGCTGCCTGTGTCAAGGGACAGAAAGACAGGACTCAGGGCTGTCTGGGCAAACAAGAGAGAATCCAATCCATCCCCCCTGGGAGCAGAAGATACCAGGAGGCTGCTGCCTCGGCAGACAGAGAGGCCAATTGCTTGAGTCATCAGCCAGAGGGTTCAATGTTATGGTTTTAGAAACACACACACAAGGCTGAGTATTTTTCCATTTCTAAAGTTTGAACTGGATGTATTTTTTAAAGCACTTACCAACATGTCATCCTACAAGCACCAATCTTCAAGCAGGCATGCACACGCATGCACACACACACACACACACATACACACACACACCATTGCAGAGGCTCAACCAGAGTTAACTAAAGAGCTAGTTCCTTGAAAGAACAAGTACTTACCAAATAGGTATCTTGAAAATATTTTTAGGAAGTTCTAAAGCCACTAGGAAGCCATGAAAGTACATTTCTTAGGCCAGTGGCCTCACATGTAAGTCTGCATAGACTCAGAACAAAATGACCTCATTCATATCAAAATGAGCACTGTTGAGGAACGGTGGTTTTCTGGGTGGAGTTCCTTGGTGAAAAGTCCCAGAATGTCTTAAATTACATGCCACACTTCCCTGTTTTCTTAAAGCCAACAGTTAAGAAGAGTAATTTTTCATTCTTGACAATTCAAAATAGTGATTGCTTGCTTCTTCCTAAGCAATGGAGTCCAAGTAATGTCCTCTTTGGATGTGACTCACACTTAGGGATGTGAGCACTTGAGTGCAGTACTGGCAGAGGCCAGGAGAGGGCACAAGACCCCATCGTGAACTCCCTGATGTTGGTGCTGTGAGCAGAACTCATGGCCTCTTCAAGAGCAGTGTGTGCCCTTGAACCCTGAGCCACCTCTTCAGTCCACAGTGGGGTTCTTGTTGAGCTTTTAAACTTTAAGTCATCAGTTTACCCCTTTCTCAAAACCATGACAACTGCTTTCTTGTCTCTTGTTGATGTCATCACAGTAAGGTAACAGGCATGTTAAATGCCTTTGCACTGCATCATGGGAAATTTGAGACTATTTTATCCCAGTATTTTTCTTTTTGAACTTTTTTATTTGTTTATATTTTATTTATGAGAAGCTCTACATATGTACCCGCAGGCCAGGAGAGGGCATCAGATCCTCTTATAGATGGTTGTGAGCCACCATGTGGTTGCTGGGAACTGAACTCAGGATGTCTGGAAGAGCGGCCTGCTCTGAACTGCTGAGCCATCTCTCGGCCCTTCTCCTGGCACACTTGCCATCACTTCTTCTTATGAGGAGCCTTTCTCCTGCAGCTTTCCTCTTCTGACTTTTATTTATTTTTTCCTATGTATCAAATTTGCTATAGAAAATCTTTGCTGTCTGTGTTAAAAATTAGGTCCTGGGGTTCAAGATTTCAAGATCTTGCAAGCCAGTGCAAATTCAAAAGATCAACATTTCTCATTTGCTTCATTCGGCCAAGGTTACATTGGAGTAAAGTTGACTCCACCCTGACCAAGCACAAAACAGCACCCATAGCTCTCGAGGCTTCTGCTCTCCCCAGTGTGCTACATTCTGGGTGTGGGTATTTGACGTCTGGCCAAGTGTCCTAGCTAAACAAGGTGCTCCTGTGTTTACTTACCTGCTGAGGGACCCTCTAAGTCTTAGAAGATGTGTCTGTAGGAGACCATATTTTAAAACAAATAGCAGATTCCTGGCCTAATAAATTAACAATATGCTAAACAGAGAAAAGAAACCAGATCTCAATAGTCTGGTCCCTCCCCGCTGAACAATTAGTGTTTCCCATGCCCAGTAAACAGCCAACACCTCCAGGAACCGAACACAGCCTTCCCTCTGTGGGGACACCTGAGCTCTGACTGCACGTATTGTCCCTCCTTCCCTGCCCACTCTTCCCCTGGGCTCCTCACTCCATCTTCTTGTCTTTTATTGGCCCCTACTCCAAACCACCTTAGCTCTTGGTCTGAGTGGGCAAGCTCTCCAGTGGCACAGGCCTCCTACTTCATCTCTGAACTGCAACACGTAGCCCTGGAGGAACCGGAGTGGTTGTGTGCCAACGCTTGATTTATTGATATTTTACCATTGATTGCACCAGGGCAGAGGTAAGTGTAGTATGAACGGCGTTGGTAGGCAGGCAGGGCTGTTTTTCCCATTCTCCCATCAGAGATTACAAAAAGATCATAAAATCTAGGCTATGAATGTTGCTAACTGCTCTAACTTGTGTCTGTCACCAACAAAATGACCCAGGCCATTCACTCTATGCCCAGGAAGTTCTGAACAAGTACCTACTTAGTACGAGCTTGAGGGCCCGTTTTTGAAATATAGAGGTTGGTATACCATACCCTTTGACATGGTAGACCTTGGGATTCCAGAGTAGGAGGTGATGAGGTCATGTTGCCCCAGCTGGCATAGAACTTCTGAGCCTGGCCACGGATTGGCACTTCACAGTCTCTGTCCCAATTAATAGTGACAGGAAGGCACATGAAGTGGCTACCTTCTTTCCTGCTTGCAGTGAAGAAACATAGCTTCGCAAGGCTCAAGCAAGTGGCCTTAGACCCGGCCCTCTGAAGGAGCTGGGGAGGGATTTGAACCCTACTTTTCAATCTGCATTCTTTACTCTTAGGGAGTCTGCCTTCCCTCCCCTACGCTACATGTTATGACTGTGGCATGATGGGAACCTGGTATATGAGTCCACAGTGCCCAGATCCAGGCCAAGGCTGCAAGACGCAAGGAGGCGCCCTGGAAGAGGTGTTTCCTATACTGACCCTAGAGCAGTCTTCTAGGCAGGGGGGAGGGTGTAGGTCTAATGGCCCCAGCAGAGGGTGGCACACTGAACAACCTGAAGAGGGGCAGGCGGTCGCTCTGGGAAGCACAATCATCAACATCTCTGACCCCCATTTCCTTCACTGTGAAGATTGTAAGGGCAGGAGCAAAAGAAGGCTGCCCTTGTGACTTGTTGCTATAAACCCTCTTCCTGGCAGAAGGTGCCTGATGATATTACTTAACTCTACTTCCTGGCCAGGCCACTTCCACCTCCTCCTCAGGAGAGAGACCTAGGTCAGGAAGCAGGAAAGGCTGAGATTATGGGGCCTCTGCGCCCCACCCTCCCTGCTGTTGTAGTGTCTCTCTTCAATGTTCCCTGTGTCCAGATGTCCTTAGTGCAATGCCCGAGAGTGTGCCTTGCTCTGGGAAAGTCCAGGTAACAAGCCGGATTGAGTCCTCATCAGCGTGGTCTTACCCAGACTTTCGATCTCTCTTCTTTTCTTTGAGAGAGAAACCACATACGCATTTGGAGATGTGGCTTCAGTAGGGGTTGCCTGAAGTCAGAACAGAGCCAGTCTCTGTGGTGCAAGAGCATGCCACATGCTGGCTCAGGAGAGACCCTTGGGTTGATTACTCATGACATTGTGACAGATTTACTGCCTACCCACCACCGAAATGTTCCCATTCTCTGGGGCTCCAGCGAGCATTAATATTTTTCTATATTGCAACAACTCTCCTAATGACAGAAACAGACCCACCTCTGGGAGCATGGTGCAATAATGGGACTAACCCCGTTAGCCGGGGCCCAGCTACCAGCTGACCCGTCCGTCCGCCACAACCTTGGCCAAGGACTCCCTCTGCCCGGCAACTTCAGCTCACCCAAGAAGGGGAAAACAGCAACACACAGACTGTTCTCCTTCTCTCGCCAAGGTTAGAGAGCAGTTGGGACAACAGTTATTTCTGGCTGTTTGTTTTTAAACATTCTATGTTGCAATCCTAACTCTCGCCCTGCAAGCGATCTTCACTTTGGCTGTCTTTCTTAACAATGTGTTTTATCTTCTGATTGAGAAAATCACTTGAGATTTTGTCATGCGCGATCCCCCTTGCTCTGCCTCTCAACCTTGGCACTTTCTTGAAAGCTGTTGATCCCAGAGGAGCAGCACCTCGCCCCATGTAACTCCGTGAAATTCTCTCATCTAATTACAGCGCTGGCTGTCTCAAGAAATTCAGAGGGACAGGGAGCAGATAAAGGTGTGGAGGCGGTAAGGCAGGGAAGGAAGATAGCACGTCAAGACCTCAGACTTCTCTATAGAGGGATTTGTGTTTTCCTGTGGCCATGAGTCCCATAGGGGGAAAAAATCTGTTCTTTTTGTTTGTTTTAGAAGTAAGGAATGTAGACCTTGATGGGAGACCCTCAAGAGATAACTTAATTCCATTTTTCTATTCCTGCCTAGATAAGTCACCATGCACTCACAGGCCTTGTCTTGTCTTTCAGAGGAGAAAAAGAACTTCATAATCACCCTTCTTTAGGAGACCTTTTGGCTCACAACCCACCCCAGTTGATTGCAGAATAAATGGCTGTATTCAATTTACATCATCAAATTTTTTCCTAGAAGGAAAAATTCATGAAAAAAAAAGTTAGCCGGGTCAAAATTAAATTTTAAGAAACTAAGAAAAAGGAGAAAGAAATAGATCCAGGTTTGACTTAGGTTTGAGGGGATCCCATGATAAAAGAAAAAACGCACGATTCCTTAATGCCCTGTCTTCGTGGCTTTGTACTTGGCATCTCGGCAGTTGTCTGACTTTTTCAGCTCTGTATGTCAGAGGCCCAGACGTACGGTCGTGGGGGAAGATGATCAGTAAGACAACAGCAAACACCGATGGTGTTCCCAGAGACATCAGATATTGTCCACGTTTACCTCCCAGAGCAAGCTCTGCACCCAGCAACGATATTAGTCCCACTGACCAGAAAGAAATACTGAGGCCTTGGAAGAGCACACCCTGCACACCATACACTGCTTCTGTGTGCCTATGTCAATGCTGGCCTGACTCCTTTAGACACTGCCCTCTTTTTATAGCCTTGCTCAGCCTCTTCCTGCTGCTTGGTCACTTGTGGATGGTGCAAGGCACTCGAGGAAAGAGAAGTCTTTCTAGGTCTTAAAGGACAAGCTGGAAACCAGATTCAGTCAGTAGTCTCCTTCTGCCTTCTACTCCGCTGAACTCCCCCTCACACACAAATACACACATACACACACACACCATGCACACCATATAGGCTCACACACCACACATACACACACCATACCCATACATATGCACCACACATCTTCACACAATATACACACATCATACACACACATATGCCACACAGGCACACACACCACACATATACACATCATACCCATACCACATACACCTTACACAGGCACACACATGCTCTCGCTCTCTCTCTCTCTCTCTCCCACACATACACACTCACACCACACACTATGCACATACACACATACACCACACATACATTCTCACATGCACACATACAACACACACAGCACACATAGACCATATACACCACACACCGTAAACCCCCCCCCCCCGCAGGCACACCCCCATGCACAAACACACACGCTCACCACCCTCTTTGGGTCTCCACCACCACCTTTTCTTTCCATCTGGAATCTGAAGCTGTGAAGGCCAGTAATGGAGTGTCAGCGGAAGAAATTGATTCCTCACACACAGAGAACGCTCCTGACTTCAGTGTCAGTGGAGCTGAACCAGGTTCTGGGCGGGTGAGAGAGCCATGTAAACAGTTCATGGCTGAGCTGTCAGGGCCAAGCCCGACACCCGAGAGTGAGTGGGAGGGGAACCCTGGAACACATAATTGTTTTATTGGGAAAGAAAGCAGTAAATAATATTTCATCCCAGGGATTGGCTGTTCAAGAGGGATGAAGACTGCATAGGGGCAGAAGGAAGTGAGGCCCAGGTTTGACTGGAAGAGATTTTCTTTGTCTCAAGGTGGGAGGTTTCCTTCCTGCCCCACCCCCATTCTCCCATTATCATCATTAAAATAATTACCGTAACAATTACAGTTGATGAGCCCTCTGGTTTACGGAGCACCTTTCATCTGAAAGTTCAAAGTGATTTATCTGTGCGTCAGCCTCTGAGACTGTAGGAGGGTGAGAAAGTATTATTATTATCATTACTATTACTATCATTATTATGATTATTTTGGGGGGTCTCCTTAGGAAACTGAGATCCTGCCAGATACAAGGCTCTGCCCAACCTCAGAACAGCGGCTGGGTTAAGTGTTGGGGATGGACTTCTCTTCTGGGGTCTCCACTATGACATCCTCCCAAGCTGGCCTCTTATCCACAGGCGGCTCAAAGCCTTCCTATGCCATGGGATTCCCACTGGTCGCTCCTATGGTGCCCAGACAGCCGGCAGATCCATACACAAAACAAATGGCCTGTTTATAGCTTCAGGATAAATACAAGTCCATTAAGTCCAACCCATACTGTTTCTTTCCATCCATCTCGGAGACTTCCGGCAACCTGCTTCTCTTGTGGATAGAAGTGTGTACTTTCTAGACATATTTTTTCATGGTTCAGTGGGACTGTCTAACAGCACCCACAGTCCCTAGTGCTGTCCATGTCCAACCAAGCCTGGGCTTCCACCCAGAGCAGCATTTCTGCCGTGCTTTCCTGACCCGACTGACTTACCGAGTGCAGTCAGGACACACATCAGGGCGCAGGGTCCAAGTGGCTCTTCCAGAGGAGGAAGTAGTTCCAGATGACTGGCCACCAAGGGCTACATTCAGAATCTCCACCCTGGCGTGGCAACAGCCCCTTCCTCCTGGACATTAGTGTGTGACCGTCATTTCCACACCTCTGTAACCTGAAGCGCCAAGAGAACAGGATCCCAAATCAAGGTGTCACACCTGCCACCCGCTCCCAAAGGCCAGGGTGCCCCTGTCCTGGAATTCTTCAGAGCACATTTTTCAGACAAGTTTTACGTCTTCCAAGTTTTGTTATACAGAGCCTAGGGGGATATTAAAATAACTGGAAACCCATCCCCGGAAAATGCAGATGAACTCTGACACAGTGATTGGGTCCCTGTTGCCTAGCTCTCTTGTTCCCAGCAGGCTTCCATTTTTCGGACAGATGGGAGGTTATGATTTCTCTCTTACAATTGGCTCCACCGGGAGGCAGAGTTAGTGAACTCCTTACCCAGAGGGAGCTGTTCTCTCAGCCAAGTGAAGGGATGCTGCCAGCACACAGGGCCCCAGGATGACGTGCTCTCGTTTCCCCTCAATGACTACCAGTTGCCTTACGCCCCTAGTCGGTCCCAAGAGGTGATGAGGTACGAGCCCTGTGCCCATTTATGAGGTGAGGTAAATCAAGGTAGAACATGATAGATCCAGGCTAGCATGAGACAACTCAACAAGTCTCGGCTCTGTTGGGTACCACTTTCAGCATCAGAGCATGAGTTGTTGCTGCTGCCTCTGAAAAGAAAGAAGTGAATGTAAATCGTGGGGGTTCTTCTTATCTTCTTAGTACTCTGGTATTCTTATCTTCTTAGTACTCTGGTATCATTACAAAATGCTAGCAAGGGATTCCTGAAGTGGACACCAAAGGACAGAGGTTCTATAGTCACAGAACAGACTAAAGGAAGTCTGACAATCGTGCCCAAAAGAGTCAGCCTCCATCCTTCAACTTCACCAGTTGCCTAAAAGCCATCCCTTACGTAAGTGTTCCATCCCAGCAGCCCCCTGAGTGCAGAAGTCCAGCAGATCAGTAGCTTTGTGGCCTCAGGAATGCACTGCTGGGAAGCCAGAGCAGAGGGGAAATAGTGTGTACCTACAGGGTCAGGGCAGAAGTGTTGGAGGCTTTGTTGTGTGCCCTTCACTTTCTGAAAGTTATCCACAGCAAGGCTTCTCAGAGCTGCGTCTGGAGCAGCCTGCTTCCTCACGTTGAGAGTGTTCTTGGCAGCCTGCAACCTGAGGAACAATGAGATTCTGCGGCCTCTACATCATCCCAGGGCTTCTGTGGAAAAACAAGCAGCAATTATAAATAGATGGTATTTGCACTTTCCACTTTCTTGCCTTCAAGGTTTTTTAGAATAATTCCTCCAGTTTGTTTTGGGTTATTCTCTGTGCATACTTCCTTTGCTGGGTGGTCAGATTTCCTCTTTTCTAACAAGCTTGGTGGTGACCCTGGCTGGGAGGGGACTGCAAACGAAAAACTGCAAACATCAGAGATTTGTGCTCTGAAGAAACGAAGGAAGAGAATGCAACCGCAAACAGCTGCTGTGGAAACGGCACTGGGTGCTGATGCAAACACACAAACAATCCTAGAGTGTTGGGAACGCAGAGGTACATGAATAATAATGATGACACTAGCCACGGTGGCCACTTCTACTCAGTGAGGATGGACTGTATGTCAACTGGGATACCCAGCTACTCGTGTGCCTCAGCTCAGTTGACTGAGGGCAGAATGGGCGCCCCACTGCTCACAACACAGCAAAAGAGACTGGAAGTATGAACCAGTGGCGGTGGGGTGTCCTAGCACACAGGCCCTCAGGCCCTAGGTTCAACCCAGCACCATTTAAAGACAGATAGATATATAGATAGAAAGATAGATGATGAGAGAGAGAGAGAGAGAGAGAGAGAGAGAGAGAGAGAGAGAGAGAGAGAGAGAGAGAAAAGAACTTTCCAGACTGGAAATGTATCCCAGTTGATAGAATGTTTGCCCAGAATACACAAATCCCTGGGTTCACTTCCCAGTGCTACATAAAGTAGACAAGGTATACACCTCTCTACCCGCCCTCCACTGCCCCAATCACCATCTCCCATCCACCCCCACCCCCCACACACACACACACACACACACACACACACACTCAGGAGATAAAAGAGGGCAGGCAGGAGTTCAAGGCCATTCTCAATAACAAAGAAGGGTCAACCTATGCTACCTGCAATCCTGTTTTAAAACAAACAAAACCCAGTAAGTAGCTTTGAACCCGTCCCTGGCAGCCTGGATCCAGATCCCAGGCTCAGAACTTCAAGACTGAAATAATTCTCCAAACTCAAGTACATGGATTTGTGCAAAAGGTAGATTTGTGGAAGTCCACCCCCAAGGTTGGCAGCGCTGGACTGTAGCTAATGCTGTAGCTAGGGTTGTTCATGGTATCTTTTCTAACTCCAGGATGCCGTGTGTGTGTGTGTGTGTGTGTGTGTGTGTGTGTGTGTGTGTGTGTGTGGTGTGTACACAAACGCAGCTCATCTCTCACCCACCCTTACCACCGTGTCTTGTTAACATGGTGGCTGTAATAAAAATAAAACCTCTCTCTCAGGCATCAGGGTCTTTGCTGGACCTGAGTGGGGCTGTTGTTATCTCATTTTGTAGATGAACAACTGAGACCGGGTGAAGGAACGTGTCTTATCTCCAGCTTCGCTAGTGGCTAATGCCACAGACAAACTGGCTCTGTTCACAAAGTCCACTTCTTGTGCCTTTCCCCAGAGTACATCATGGCTTCTTAGACATGGATCTGTATAATAGTTATTTCAGCTTGGTCTTATCGCAGATCCCGTCCCTAGAAAAATATACCTGCATGGGAAGACACAAAGCTTCAGAGTGTGATGGTAGGGGCTGCATGGACCATATTGGAGATCTGTGGACTTAGAATATGTGGATGGCACTTGAAGCTCTTCTAAATACACTGGATCCTATTTTCTCACTCGCTGGGCCATATGTTCGCATTCGAGTGTACACACGCTTATAAAAATACTGCGCTTACAGAAATTAATATGTTATTCCATCTGAACACTGGAGCTGCATTTTCACCATTTCCACTGGGCAAATCTTACAGCCACACATTTCAAACCTGCTCGCTGTTCTCACTGGTGGCCTGTCTATCACTGTTCTCACTGGTGACCTGTCGTCTATAAACTTTGGCACGTCCTGCAGGCTTAGGTTAATCGGGATGGCTAAGTAAAAAGAGCAAGGTTCTGTGAAGCTGCTTTCTACTTCTGCCCACTTTATAGAAACCTAAGGATAGAAGGCTTCTTCCACCTGGCCCCTCTCCTGCCTTTGTGCTGCAGCAATCTGATGTATCCAGATAATGAAGCAAAGGAAAGGAGGTGAGGTCTGTGTGCCAAGGGTTCAAATCTCACCTCTGACCCTTCCTCATTGTGAGTTTGGGCTGTCAACCTGAGTCTCCATTTTTGCTTCTGTAGATGAGTGGTAACCATGACCAGTCCATTCTGTATTAAGTTAGGATTAAATGAAACAATATCTTAACTGATGGGTCCGGCCCCATAGTAACCACTCAGCAAAATACGGTGACGTTCCATTGATTTGCTTACTAAATGAACAACAATGGAAGACAGAAATTCAAGGAAATGAAATGTACTTCTTTATAAAGAGCTAGTCCAACAGCAAGGCGATTTCTCCGTAAAGGCTGGACCCAAGAAGCAGGTGGCCTGGCTCTGGGCCTGTGTTGGCCAGAGACCTCAACACTGTGCCGACCCACAGGGCGGCTCCCCGAGTCTCAGGAGGCTTCTTTGTTGGGAGGTTTTAGGCGCTGCAAGTGGCTGTGATGGCATTTCCTCCGATTTTCCCTGCAGGTTTTAATGTAAGGATTAATAAGACAGTGTTTGTAGCTGTCTTTGAGCTTTCTGGAAGAAAGGCACTCCGGGAGGTGGCAAATTCTCTGGCCTGGATAATCCACTCATGAAATATGGAACTTTGAAAGTGTGAGAAAAATCTCCAATCACTTTGACAGCATTTTAATTATAGTTGATTTGTTTGCCGCTAATAGTGAAAATGCTGTCAGCAGGATCTGAGATGTTTCTTCTCCACAAAATGTTATATTTCGTGCCTTTGTGGCACGAAGCAGCATTTAGGTTTCCACATACCACCAGAATAGCTCAGGAGACGCGCTAGGGTGCAAAGTCAGAAGATACACCAGGGGCAGACCCACCGTGCCCGGAAAAAGCATATTCTGATACACAGCACCAACTGCAAATCCCTTCTTCATTTAGTCCCTCAATATGCGGGATCCCTGTTTGTGTCGCAGACCCCAAAATATCCCACTGTAGCCTCCCCCTGCTTCCTCCCTTGTGCAAGAGACAGGAGTTAAAGAAATAGACAAGATGCAGGTAAACCTTTCCATAAGGAGATAAGCAGAGGAAGGGTCCGCCTCCTGAAAGAGAAGGGCAGGGCAGGCCTGAAAGAAGGGAATGGGACACAGGCAGAGCTAATGAGTACGGCAGACACAGGAAAGAAAGGGGCAAGGGCCCGAAGATTGGGAACATCCTCGATCTGTGTCATAAACATCAGCAGCATGAAGGGAGGAAGGGCCTGCCTGCCAAGGAATCCAGTTTCTCTGGGTGCAGGCATCCCTGTGTTCAGATGCAAATCCCGAAGTTGAGTGTGACACCCTTATAGGACCTAAGAATTTTGCTTTTGGTATACTCCCTTCCCCCACAGACATCTGTGTACCCAGAAAGGCAGACGAGACCTAGTTTAGACCTTAAAGGTCTCTTAACAAGGGCCTTAGCCAGGGAGCTCTTCCACACCCTCAGCAGTAGTCAGCCATATCAGGTGACAACCTGGGAGAGTGAGAGATGGATGCCAAAGAACCTGTTTCCATGTTTGCCAGGGATGGGAGGGAGACATGAAGATACTGCCCCCCCACTCTCTCCCCTTGGACTCAGAAAATTGATTCCACTGTCTAGATTTCCATGCCACCCCCGACCCATGTGGATTTGAGGAGACACAATGAAGACTTCGAGGCTAAAGGAGAAAGCAGAGGTGGCATTCTCTAGACAAGCCCCGCCCGTGCAGATATCAGCAGCTGTACAGAACGAGAAAGTACTCGAGGACCATAGAGAAAGATCAAGAGTGAGGTAGAGGTGGCTACCTTGGCTCAGGGGAAGAAATAAATAACCAAAATAATAAGAGGTAGTGTTAAAGCTTCGAAAGGAATTTTTTCATTTGAGAGAGATTATGGATAATGAAATACAAACACTGTAGTTAATATGTCTGTTAGCTGCTTGTGTTGGCTTCTGGGAGGCAGTAATGGGCTGGGCGAGAGGGCAGCTTTCAAGTCGGCCCGTTTCACTGTCCTTGGGGTGAAGCTCAAGTCTGTACCCCAGATTTCTTGCTCAAACAAACACTGGAGATTCAAGGCTGCGCACAAAGCTTGTATTTATTCCAAAGCCACAAACTTCCTGAGCCTCCTCAGAGCCCTTCACAAAAGAACCTGACAACATGGAAATTTCTGAGGAGATTTGCTCCAGCTGCAGCAAATCCCCAATAATAAAAAATTTCCCCAAATGGGTCTGTCACATGGGAGGTAAATGAGATATTCTGGATGAAGTCAGCGTGTCACTTGAAGTGTGCCCTTTATAGCAAAAGACCAGCCAGAAGGTCACATGGTTAAGTGGACTTGTCCACAGGGTGCAGCCAGGACCCTGGAGCGAGAAGGAACTTGCCTGCCGACTTGTAACTCCTGTCTCTCTCTCATGTGTACTTGATAGAAAAATCCAGTTTCCTAAGAAGTTCAAGTTCAAGGTTATTTGCTTCACAAAGAGACTCATGGAGGAGGAGGTGGTGGGGGAGATGGAGGGGTTCCCTTTAATTCACAAGCACACACACACACAGAGAGAATTGGTACTGGCTTAGAGGAACCGTTATTTAAATTGTATGGCCTTCACTGTGGGTAGGTGTTGTGTGTATGTGTGTGTATGTGTGTGTGTGTGTGTGTGTGTGTAAACATGGAGTTGTTGCTGGGCAAGTCTCTCTCTCTCTCACCGCGCACACACACACACACACACACACACACACACACAAAGCCTGAGGGAGGCCTGATCACTAAGTAAACTGAGGCAAGCTCTGAGCAATGGCGGTTGGTTGTTGGTAGCCCTGCCTCCTGGCTGATTCTGTCAATCCTCTAAATGACTCCGCCCACTTCTAAGGACTAGCCAGTATGGTGGCAGGGCCTCTCTGTCCTTTGTAGAATAATCACCAACACAAAACCAGACTTTTGTTTTTGTTTTTTATTCTATTTTTAAATATTATTTACTGAGTACGCTATGTGAAATTCTATTCCTGGGTTTTTGGACATGCCATGTCTCACGAGGCCCTCATTCTGCACACCCCAGCTCAGAGAGAAGGGTAATAAGGTGATAGTGGGAAAAAATCCACACCTGTGTCTGCTAACTTTGTTTTCCACTTATTGGGTCTTTGAGACAGACTATTATGTGGCCCACATTGACCTTGAACTCTGATCCTCCTGCTTCAGCCCCCAAATGCCGGGATTTTTGGCAAGTTCCACTATGTTCATCCCTGCTAAATCCTAAGGGCTTGTTTTTCTTAACATTTCTGCTTTAAAAACTTAAGGAATGTAGCTTTATTTTTATGAGTCTGTCTTATTAAAGAAATGTGAACTTATAATAATTCAGATAACAGAAGGAAACAAAGAAGGCGCAATCAGCCTGTCAATGACGTGTCTCTGCCAGTATTTTAGATGTAGTTTTTCAAATGCTTTCTGAATTCTTATGCAGGAAAATAATGCTTACATTTTAAAATGGACTTTAAAAATCTGTTCTTTTTGCATTAATAGTATATAATGCAATCTTTGTATAAAAAACAACCCAGTCCTGCCATACTATTTTCTGTAGCAACTGAATATTTCACCTTATAAATATAGCAGAATTAGTTAATCTCTCTGTCTGGTTGGATTTTTCAACACAATGCTATCTATAAAGGAAGCATCTTCTCATTTATAATATACTTTTAAAAATTCACGACGATGCACACACATCTGTACATGACCCTTTGATTGTTTTCTTGGTGGAAAAATGTCCTAAGGATTCTGGTTTAAAGGCTACAAATATAGTAACTTTCTTCGCTCGCATTTGCCCCAAAAGTACCTTCCAAATGTTTAAAGCGATTTACATCTCCACCTTCACTGTGCCAATATCCCCAAGACCTCTTTCTCTTCAGACAGGCGGAGTCTATGTATAGGCCCCAACCTCTCTGCTCCCGGGAAATGGGTGTGGGAATTTGACTGGTTCGCTTTCTCAACCAGAGTGCTGGACCACAGAGCCATTCTTTGTGCACATTAGGTTCAGTCAGGCAAAGCTCACGACTGAAGGAGGGGGCTCCTAATAGCTCTCTTTTAGGGTTGCAGCCTTCATTTGAAAAGTATCTACTCAGTGTGTGTGCAGGAGTCAGGGCACCGTGTGAAGCCAGAGGGCAATCTTGGGCTCCACTATATCCAGACTTAGCTGGCTTAAGAGGCTCCTGGTCAAGTCCTCACGCTTGGACCCCAATCACTTTTCCCTCTAAGCCATCTCCTCAGCCCTATTCCCCCTATTATTATTATTTTTTTGAGGCTCAGAAAGATTAAAAGCTTAATTTTTCCAGTTCTTTTGCTTAGAAAAAGAAGTTTTTAGTGGATATAGCTTTATTTTACAGATGGGTGGCTTATTAAAGAACTGTAATTTGGGCTAAGAAATGGAATGAAATCCCCCCCATGCCCCCAAGTCTAACCCCAGGTCTGGGATCTAGCACCCAGAGAAGGGAGTTCGTGAGGAGTGAGTAAGGGCTGCTTGACTTGTGTTCACACTTCTTGCTGCGCCATTGCTCAGCTGACACCTCTGGCTTAACTAGGAGAGGAACAGCAAGGCGGGGTTTTCCAGAAGGGGTTGGGAATTTCCCTGAAGAGCAAACAAGTGTCTTTTCGCTTTTGTTTTGGAATTGAGGAAGCTTACTTTCAAAATCAGTACTATCCCCCACACTGAAAAAAAAAATCCCAGATTTGAGTAGCTCCTCCACCCCACCCCACCCTGGGCCTTTGGAATCCGGCTAACTCACCAGAGCTCCGGTGGAAGCCCCTATCTCACTAGCTCCACCTCTCTGGAGGAACCCAACACCAGCCTTGCTGTGGTTGCAGGAGTCCAAACCTCCAGGGCCTCAGGAGAAACTGGCCCTGGTAACAGACTCCTTCTTCCTCCTTTACAGCAAGCTGAAGTACGGCCCCTGGAGGCTGAGGTTCCAACCCCTTGTGCAGGCCACCAGCTCCCACAGACCTGTGTGACAGGAGCCTTAGGCCACACCCCAGGGGCTACATTGTCAGTCCCTTCCTTATCCACATGGAGGGAATGTCTTATGTGTTGTTTTTTACAGGCTGATGCAAAATAAATCAGGGGAGAGGGAAGAGGGGGAGCCGGGCTTTGAAGAAGAGTCCCACTTGGGCTGTGGGAGTTAAGTAGTAACTGGAAACATACAAGTTCAGAGAAGCTGGAGGGTCATTGCTGGGCATGCACCGCAGCTGGGAAAATGTGCCCATCAAGGTGGGCATCGGTCTATGAACCTGGCCAAGAAAGACTGTGAGGCATCTATGTCCATGCCAGGCCCATCTGACTCAGTCTGAAAGAGCACAGGCCACTGATTGGGGCAGACCAGCCAGCCATTGTGGGTGCACAGACAAGGTCGCTAGAGAGTCGCCAGACTTTGGGGGGAAGTTTTTACTGCCTCATCTGAGTTAGCGCCAGCCAGTCCTCTCTGAAACCATGTTGACTAGATAGTGTTGATGGGACCTTTGTAGGCAAAACTCAGGGAAGAAGGTAGCCTGCAGATGGGGACACTGCCAAATAAGAACAGGAGGTGATGGCCCAGGAGAACACGAAATCAGGGCAGGGGGCAGGAGAGAAGACACCGCTGAAGCATCCCCAGGGTGCCAGTCCTGACCTGTAGTTTCCATCCCATCTTCTCGCGCACGCTGGAGCAGCAACTGTTTTCCTCCACCTGCCGCACTCGTGGATTCTCACGTTCAAGGCAATGACAGAGTTAAGGAGAGACAAAGATTTAGAGGGGTCACAATGGAAATAAAAGTATGAGCTGCTGCCACCCAAGGACAAACAATGCTTGCTCTGAGATCCTGAGAGAACGAGGCGCCTCTCACCCATGCACTCACGCGGATATAGCTTGAAAGCAACTTCCCGCGTCTGTGTTTGCCTGTGTGCCAAAGCAAGCGGCTTGCCCTTTGAGGATCACTGCAGCACCTGAGTGTCTGGAAGAATGGGGATAATGGTCCTTCCCAGATCTTCAGAATGATCTTTTTGTTCATCTGTGTCCTTTTCGCTGTCCCCACCTAGGTATGACTTCATTGAGATTCGGGATGGGGACAGTGAGTCAGCTGACCTCCTAGGCAAACACTGTGGGAACATCGCCCCACCCACCATCATCTCCTCTGGCTCCGTGTTTTATATCAAGTTCACGTCAGACTATGCCCGGCAGGGGGCAGGTTTCTCCCTACGCTACGAGATCTTCAAAACAGGTCAGTGGGGTCGGGGAGTAGAGGTCAGAGATGGGCATCATCGGGAAGGTAGGACAAAGCGGGGGAGACCTGGTCTGCAGACAGCATCACGTGGGAGGGCTTCAGACATATGGCTTCGCTGTGGTGGCCGGTGAAGAGACATCTAAGGTGGACCTAGGAAGGTCTGAGGAGAACCTGGAAATGCCTCATATGAAAAGGCAGGTCAGGTGACTTCCAACTTGAGGGGAGAGACGAGGCAACAATCCAGAGGGTACTGGAGGGTGGGAGGGGTAAACACAAGAACATCTCTTGAGAGAATTGGACTTTTGTGTTTTTAAAATCAGGCTGTTCTTCATGGCTGGACTTGGTTGAACTTTATTCCCACTCCTTCATGGTTTAATACTGTCTTTATTTGGAGTTACATGGTGCTGGAGGACATAATCTTTTCACTGTTTAGGGCTTCTGAAGATCTCACCATGACCCCTAGAATGAGGTCAGTCATTGCTTTTAAATTAAATTATGATTCCAAGACATTCTCCTTGGCCATCCATTTACCACGCTATACACTGAACTCCTATTTTTTCCATATGCCACGGAGTCAGATGGTCTGAAGATCTAATGAAGGACATTGGAAATGGGGGCAGAAAACATAACACTGCTTGGGGTTGACTGCTGGACCCCATCTGTCTCAAGGCCGTTATGGGCAGTCCTAACTTCTGCCGTCACTAGGACCGCTCTCACCTGAAGGTGCCATGTTAGGTCCTCTTCCCCTCTCCCAGTGGCATGTCCTTCTGTCTTGTGTCAGTTCCCACAATGGCTGAGGGAGGAATGTCCTCCTTTCCTGCCCTCTCCTTACCTCAGCAGCTCTGCCCCCATCTTTGCGCGTTTTCTTTCTTTAGGAGTCCAGGTTTTATAACTCCTACGCGGAGCCTGAGTCCAGGTGATGTTGTCACCCTGTCGTTGAGAAACCCAAGTCTGGCACCTGTTAAATTCAGGGCAGAGGGAGCCATTCATCTGTATTTTGTTTTCTTTTTTCGTTAAATAGTTCTTGGAAGGAAGTGGTGGCTGTTGAAAGTACTTTTTATATCTACTCTGTCTCAATATTTGATGGTCTTGTCTGCCTTTGAAGGAAGAATCAAATGAAGGGGTGTGGTTAGCAGAACTGGATTGTGTCAGAGTGGGGGCCCTACGCTATGGTCTATGATGGCCCATCCGCCATGCATTTTCATGTTTCTGGCCACAGTAAGGACTCAGGAACTGATCGGTGTGTCCTGGCTGGGGCTGGTGTGAGCCCCCTTCATAGCTGGAGTCGCATCTCTTTGGGTCCCAGTGCAAGATGCAGACCAATGCACCGGCTCCAGTGAGCATTCTCTGCCGAGTGTTCTAGAAAGAAGGGATGAGGAGCTTTTCTTGTCCTTGGCTTGTGGGAAAGGCGGGCAGACAAATCCTCTCCACACAGGTACTCCATCAGTGTTATTGGTGATATTTAAAGGAAGATTGTACTACGACTAAATGTTATGTGAGGACACATGTCACTTGTTACTGTTCTGGAAATGCAATTGAGGAACTCTGTAACCTAACAAAAAATCAGTCCCAAGTGCTGAACCCATTACTCAGTTCCACTGCCTTAACCTCAGAAGGAAATCAGATCACACAAGACCTTCCAGGGAGCTGGCCAAGGGAGTCAGAACAAGAGGGAGCGAGGCACTTAAACTCATCTCTGGTCTCATGGCTCTTACCTCAGTGTTTCCCAAAGCACGACGCCACACTCTCCAGAAAGTGACAGAAATGGAAAACGTTCATTCCATCCATCACACAAATGTGAGCATTAAGAGATAAACACATGAGCATGATTCAGCCTGCTGTTTGGTGGCATGCAGAAGAATTTTAAATAAGGCAGCAAGTCTGTGAAGAGCCTTAAACAATTGTAACCGTCAAGAGAAAAGTAGGTGGCGGGCTGGAGAGATGGCTCAGAGGTTAAGAGCATTGCCTGCTCTTCCAAAGGTCCTGAGTTCAATTCCCAGCAACCACATGGTGGCTCACAACCATCTGTAATGGGGTCTGGTGCCCTCTTCTGGTCTTCAGGCATACACATAGACAGAATATTGTATACATAATAAATGAATAAATATTAAAAAAATAAAAGAAAGAAAAGTAGGTGGCTTGAGCGTGGAGCAGTGGGGCAGCCATTTTCAGGATTAGGATCATCCCTGGAAGAGATGCTCTAATGACAGCCCTGCCCAAAACCACATGGCTGGGAGTGGATAAAAGGAGAGAGCCCAAGAGCCTCCTCGGGGCCATCTGGCCCATCAGCAAGGCTGGCTATTGGTAAGAAGGTCAGTCCAGTAAAAATAAAACACAGGAATGCACAAGGGAGCAAAGCGTCACAGGTGAGATGCTTAGGACGGCAGACGTTCTTCCAGGTAGGCGCCTTGTCTCCTGTCCCAGTTTCCAGAGCTGCAGTCCTGGGAGGAAATACACAGTTTACATCATCCACAGAACATGAAAGAAATGGTTGGACAAGCTAAAGAAATCCAAACACACACAGCCATGTTTGCCAGTCAGATTCGTAAAAAGAAAGAGGGAAACTGTAAACACAAATAAGCAAACAGCCACACAGAAGGCCCTGGAAGCTTGGCTTTCCCCAGGCTCTGCCACAGGGTACACCGAGGGGCACACTCCCGCAGAGTTACACCGAGGGGCACACTCCCGCAGAGTTACACCGAGGGGCACACTCCCACAGAGTTACACCAAGGGGCACACTCACGCAGAGTTAAACCGAGGGGCACACTCCTGCAGAGTTACACTGAGGGGCACACTCTTGCAGAGTTACACTGAGGGGCACACTCCCGCAGAGTTACACTGAGAGGCACACTCCCACAGGGCTGGGGCAATCGGAGCACACGGGTGGAGTGGAAGGTCTTGGCTGCCCTAAAGCAAGGACAAAATATTGTTGACATCACCAAACTGTCTCACCTGGAAAAGGGTAAAGCAGAAAAAGATTGCAGACCTAAGCGACCCAGAGTCACCAAATCCAGAGCAGATTAGAGAAAGAAACATTGTAAAGGAGTATGGGAAGCAGAATCAGCAGGAAATGTTTGTTTTTCTTCTCTTTTTTTTTTTTTTCTGATGTTCTTTCCCCCCTGTGTCAATTACTTGGTGGTATCTCTGATAGTAAAATTGTAGGGCTTGCTCACAGGCAGAGGAAACTCTGAGCCCCTAAATAAAGGTCTGATTCCCTCGCCTGTGGTCAGGTAGAGCTTGACTTCAGATAAGACCATTGTATTTTCGTATCTTCATATGTACAGGGTCCTCTTCAACTTGCAGGTTATAGATGAGACCGTCCAGGGACATGGAGTTGACATCCTGCATGCCAAAGTCTGAGCACCTGGGGTGGGCACCCTGTGTGCCCAAGTCCTTGAGAATGGAATTGTTTACTACAGACCCCGCCCCCCCCATTTCAGTTTTGTGTTGATTTTCTGTCTTATGAGACAGAGTCATTCTGTAGCCCAAGTTGTCCTAGAATTCAATATGTAACTCAGGCTTGCCTGGAAATCCTGGCAGTCCCCCTGCCTCAGTCTCTTAGGATTACAGTGGTTGATGACAGGTATAAACCACTTCCAAACCTCTAGCTTGTATGAGTAATCTCAATAGTGAATTGACAGGAATATTTGTCAGCTGGTATTTTAATTTTTTTTTTTTTTTTTGGCCTTTTAACCTGATGCAGAAATGGGTTGATGCAAATTTTGTGTCCGTTTCCAGGATCCCTTTATTCATTTGTCATTCTGGTGCTTGGACCATGGCAGTAGAGGAGACAAATACATAATTTTAATAGGTACCAGATTTTTCTGCTTGCAAAGGATAAAACAATAATGCTTTCTCACCTCCTTCAAAATAAGCCAGAGAATGTACTCGCTTCTAACCATTTATCAGACAAGCACGTTGTTGGTTTCTTTGTTTGCTTGTTTGGCTGTAAGTACTTAAAGCTGAAAAATCCCTTTCAGTTACATGCAAGACCTGGGGATCCTGAAACTAAATGGTTTAGGATCTCATGTTCTCTGGGGTCCATCTTGGGCTTTAAATGTCCATTGTTGAAACACTTGTCCCCCTGGATGAGAAGGATCAAAGATGCTACCGTAATTCCCCACTCCCAGGGTGGTGCAGAGTCCCTTCTAGGCTGACAATGGTGCCCACTCTAGGAAGGGACTCTCAAGAGGCCTCGGCTGACTCCCAAGTCCGTTGTGAATAGGGAATTAATTTCCAGCCAGCGCCCTGAGAGGCTCCCTAAGAACCCCGTGAAGAAGCCTGCTTAGCATCCTTAAACTCTAACCTTTTCAAAATTCCTCTTGGCCCCCTGAAGACAGCGGGCCAGCTGGCCTGGCTTTCCCAAATTGCATCACCCCAGGCCACTGAGGAAGCCCTCAGGAGTTGGAGGCCTGATGGTAAACAAAGCTGAGGGGGGAAGGGAGGCCACCCCAGCTCATCCCGCCAACCCTGTTGCCCACTGGCAGCTCCAGCCCTGCCCTGCTGCAGCTGGATCAGGGAGTGAAGTGCAAAGCCTCTGAGATGTGGTACCCAGACCTCCAAATAAGGCAGGGAAATTTGCTCTTGCTTCTGGTCCTCCTTCTATGCTCAACCCAGCCCCAAGGGGAAGCACTGCCAGCAAAGAGAAGATATCCGATGGGAAGGAGGAGATTCTGGAATTTTATTTGCTGCCTGAGCTACAGAAAGTTATGAGCCTACCCCCAAATGCACGCATACTTATTTGCATGGTACCTTTTCCAAATCACATATTTGCAGCTATCAATGGGGAGACTTGCAGAGGGTCCTGCTATGGGAGCCGCAGATAAAGCTATCGCTGCAGGCTAAGAGAGGCATATTGACATCCCATAGTTCTATATCAGTGCGATCCCCAGAGGACACTTCTTGCCAGTAAACACCTGGTTTATTGAGGATTTCTGTGTTGGTGGTGGTGTTTTTCTTCATGCTTAAGAGTGTCTATTATCCCCTTCATAAATCCTGCTTCCTTTTCTTATTTTAGAATCCAGATGCGGTGAGGGAAATCTATTGTAATTACCAGCATTTACCTCCCTGTCATTAACTTGTAGCTCTCCTTGCTTTCTCTGTATATGTGGGGGTCTCTATGCTTCCAGGCTCCTTTCCTGGCTCTGCCCAGAGGTGCAGTTGCTGGGTTAAAGCACCAGGGCTCTTCTAAGAGGACTCTACCTAGAGGCGTCAGGAGACTGGGGCTGTAATCCTCTTAGTGTTCCTGCTGCTGCCCCAGCTTGCAGGAGGCTGTGAATGTGTGTCACGGTTCATCAGGACACATCCTCAGAAAGCAAACCCAAGAGCTTAGGAGAGAAACACAAGGCCATCCCCACCACAAAGGCACCAGAAGCCTTCCAAATGTCAATACACTGCTGCATTTTGCCAAACTCGCCGTCCAAGCGGCCTTTAACATCCTCAACGCCCCACTGTGATCCACCGGCTAAAAACCTCAATTGTTAATTGTCCCGCCACTACAGAGCAGCCCGTTTTAATACAGTCAGGACATGAATGAGGCTTGGGCTCCCCTTTGCCCCTCCCCTGAGGCACCTTGGAGCTCTGAGGGAGAAGGGGCACTTAGCTGGCTGGGGTACAATAGAGGCTAGTGTTGAGGTCAGCCATAAATAAGGGATAACATTGTTTTCCCTGATGGCAACCAGCAAGCCTTCCTTAAGGATTGAAATAACTTACATTTCTGGAGTGAGCAGCTGAGTAATTGAAAGAAGACTCTGTTCTTTCTCTCTCTTTCACTTTCTCTCTCCCTCTATCTCTTAGCCTCCAGTCCCTCGATGGCTGGTCTCATTCTGATATACAAGGCAATCAGCGTCAGCTTCCTAGTTTCTGTTTAAAAGGGAGGCTAGCTTGAGGGTTTGAAACATAGATGGGACGGGTGTGTTGCTCCAAGGGCCACTTGAACAGAAACAAAAACCTTGTGAGTAGAGGAATATGGACCCAAACATTTAAATAACCCAGAGGCAGAGGAGGCAGCAGAGAGAAGCTGCTCCCTAATGCTATATCTCTTCCCCTCCCCACTCCCTCCCTACTCCTCTCTCTGGTACATAGGCTCTGAAGATTGTTCCAAGAACTTCACAAGCCCCAATGGGACCATCGAATCTCCTGGCTTTCCAGAGAAGTATCCACACAATCTGGACTGCACCTTCACCATTCTGGCTAAACCCAGGATGGAGATCATCCTGCAGTTCCTGACCTTTGACCTGGAGCATGACCCTCTACAAGTGGGAGAAGGAGACTGCAAATATGACTGGCTGGACATTTGGGATGGCATTCCACACGGTGAGTGAGTGCTTCTGCTCAGCTCACTTTCTCCTTTCTAAAAAGTTCAGGATCCTAGTCCAGGGAATGGTAGCACCCAAGGTCTTCCCACTTCAGTTAACTAACCAAGGTAATCACCCACAGTTAAACACAGAGCGCTTTCTCCGAGGTGATTCCAGATTTCATCAAGTTGATGATTGACATTAACCCTCAGAGGTGACAAAACTCGAGGTGATGTCCCATTCCAACCAAGTTATTGGGATAAAAGCGAATCACTAGTCAAATGCTGTGACCACATAGAAGGACTTAAAGCCAGGCTGACTACTTGAATGTCTCTGCTGTGCAATCCTGGCGAGTTACTCATCCTCTCAGTATCTTGGCTTTGATATGATCTGTCATCACTATTATCATGAGTTCCATTATTTCATTCATACCATTGATATAGTCATAGATGTTGAAAAGGCAGCCATTCACAGCCAAGAAGAGCCGATATAGATTGGGTGAAGACCACACAGAGCTTAGGTGTAATCAGTATTGGAGAGGAAATAATTTGTTCATCCTTGTGGTTGTTCTAAGTGTTTTCTTATATAAAGGATACTTGGTAGCTCTGCAGGAGCAATTTCATCTTGGGAAAAGCATAAGACTTAGGCAGGCAAAGTAGGCTCTGGGTGCCAGCTCTGCTATTTCCTAGCAGTGTGTACCGGAACCCTGAACTGGGACTCCTGACACCCTGAAACTCAATTTTTTTCCTCTGTAGAGCAGCAACTGTAATGATGTATTCTTGTTCATCACTTGGGGATGGGAAAACGGGATGTAGCCAGCTCAGGGAAAGCACTTTTTAATGTCCAGGGAAAATATCAGACGTTATTCTCGAAGCACTCCTTTGGTTTTTATGTCAATGTATTGGCAGTGAGGTTCATAATGGTGAGAATAGAGAAAGCATTGAAAACCAGTTTTAGATGTTCACTTCCTCTGTCCACTTTTTTCCTCCGTATCTAGTTGGCCCTCTGATTGGCAAGTACTGCGGGACCAAAACCCCCTCGAAACTCCGCTCGTCCACAGGGGTCCTCTCCCTGACCTTTCACACGGACATGGCAGTGGCTAAGGATGGCTTTTCTGCGCGCTACTACTTGGTCCACCAAGAGCCTCCTGAGAGTGAGTTGGCCGTGTGGGAGTCCCTGTCCTGTCTTCTCACTAGGGACATGAGAGGGTACAGGTGAAGGGCTGACCTCTGTGGAAACTGTAGACAGAGAGGCCTCAGACTTTGTGGTGGCTTCTGAGTTCAAAAGCCATGCCTTCTTTCCCAGCCAAGATGAATGAGGAAGGACCAGTGTCCATCTGGTGCTCTTTTCCTTAGGGAAATAAACAAACAAACAAACAAACAAATAAACAAGTATGTGTTGTTCCCAGAGAAAACTGTGGACCATCTCAAGCCTCCTTCCGCCCATCTACGGATGGAAAAGGGTTGTTAGGATAACGGTGGAATAATGTTTGTGGGGGCTAACCCTCCTCAGACCTGCACCGGTCTTTTCGTCTCCAGACCTCAAAAGTATCAAGACCATCGTGGGGAAACAGCCATATGTATCTTGACAAAAGTCCTGTAGCTCTTAGTAGAGCTTCCCTGGCTAGACAGTGCAACCCCTTGGACTACAACTTCACACAGGCAAGAAATACAGCTTTGAGAAACTGATTTCTGGGCACTATGCATAGCATTATAAAATTCTGCTAAGGGCCTAGCTGTTTGGAACCTGCCACCTAAACCACTGGTCTCCCATCCTGAGGCCCATTTTCAAACTATCTACTTCTTGGCCCTATGCTTAGGCTGCACTGTCAGGGCTGCTTAGAGATCCAAATGGTCTCCTGGAGGACAAAGAGAAGCACTCTGAGATGATGAGACTGAGAAACCCGTGTCTCTGCCGTGGACAGCTTACGGCCTATGTTCACTGCGGATGCAGCAGCCTGGCCTGCCAGAAAACGAGCGGGCTCTGCTCTGCCTTAGTCTTGGTTTCTTCTTCAGAGGTCCGGAGGACTGCACGAGAAAGAGGGCAGCCAGCTGTAGCAGGCTCGGCAAATGTCCAGTGCAGCCTCAGAAAAATCTGACACCTCAGAAGAGTGTCCTGTGTTTATTGAACCCATGTCTGGGCAAGCATTGATCAGTGTCCACGGCGTCCAGGTGAAGGATGGCAGTTTTGCTGATGGCACAAGACCAGAATCAGAGTCTCCTGGGTCTGTCAGCCCAGACGAGGGCTGTAGAGGAACACAATGGGGCTTGTATGTGCTCACAGAGAAGTTTCCTAAAGATGGGTGTTTATACTTTGTAGTGTCTGTCTTCCGTGCCAGAAATCAGAAAACACTTGTGTGAAAGAGAAAGACGTGAGAAATTGCCTCTGGGTGTGTGCAGGCTTCCCACGATGGCTGAGCCCACCCAAATTGCCGTGTTCACCTGTACCCCACGGCTGGTGCATCTGGCACCTGAGAGCTTCCCTAGCCTGCAGCACTTGCGTTTGAGATGGTATTTTTAATTTATATGATGATTCTTATTTATCTATCGCCTAATTTCTTTTAGGTCCAATTTAGTTCCTTGAAGACCCAGAGGGGTTGTTAACTCTGTGACTTAGTGTAGTTGTTTTTCAAATGTGAGCATGTAATTAGATTCAGGATGAGCGAGTGCCTGCAAGGACTTGTCCCTAGAAGGAGACAGTGGGGGGGGGGCGGGGGAGGCGGCATCTGACATTAAGATACCTAACTCTGCCCTTGACCAATCTCCACTCCCCAGACTTTCAGTGCAACGTTCCTCTGGGAATGGAGTCCGGACGGATTGCTAATGAACAAATCAGTGCCTCATCCACTTTCTCCGACGGGAGGTGGACTCCTCAACAGAGCCGGCTCCATGGTGATGACAATGGCTGGACACCCAACTTGGATTCCAACAAGGAGTATCTCCAGGTGCTTACCCAGATACTGGTGTGTGTATGCATGCGTGTGTGTGTGTGTGTGTGTGTGTGTGTGAGTGTGTGTGCGTGTGTGTGGTGTGCGTGTGGCGTATGTGTGTGTGTGTGCATGCGTGTGTGCGTGTTGGGGGTGAGAGAGAATGTGATGTGTGTGTTGATGGGACGGTGGTGTGGCCCCCTCAGCTAGAGTCAAAAGAGGATGCTAAAAAAATAAACACAGAATGTACGAGAATTACATCCATCCATCTGTTCATTCACCTGTCCCAAAGGCCCTGTGCTATGCCAAGCATTGTGCTGTGTGCTGGGATAAGTTTAAGAGGACCACTGCACTTGCCCTTGTGCGGATTAGTGGGCCCGAGGAGAGTTGTTTGGCCATGTTACTGCTAACCCTATCAGTATCAAAGGAATGTTCCCGAAATAGTTCCAGATCTTCCTCATTCTTGGCTCAGGAAGGCATCAGAGATGTGGGAAGAGCATTTTCCTAAAGGCAGGTTTGTTGGGCGCTAGCTGAATATGGCAACTTCTTCTGATCTTTGCTATCTGGAGGGAGCCTGCCAGGGAGGTTTTACACATAGCTATCAGAGAACACATGGGAAAATGTCACGATGGAGAACGAGAACTCGCTCCCCAGATGCTCGGCAGCGTCTTTTCAGACTATTGTTTGCTGTCTTCCTGAGAAAGTCTTGCAGCTCATGTTGAGTAATCTTCCTGCCCTGCACACGGGCTCAGCTCTGATCCCCTGGGAAGAAGTAAACATGGGGAGGACAAACTGCCAGTTCTATACCAGAGCAACGTCTGCATTTATGACACACAGAGACAGCCTTGTGACCCAGGGACAAGCCTGTCCCAGCTCTGATGCGACTCGGTAACCTCTGCTCTGAGACAGATACTGCAGTGCAGACAGCGGGGAAGGGAGAAAGAGCACTTAGAAACTCCGGGGGGCCACAGGGCTCTAACAACACAACTCTCGGGTCATTTGTCACTGTCTCTCCCTCTGCCTCTCAAAAAATCCTTTCATCCTGCAAAGCTTCTAGCAAGTTCTTTGTTGTTACAGTCTATATACTATACTTCTGTTTTCACCCCTTTAATCGTCTGGTTTTTCATCATGGCAAATCTTCCTTTTCTAGTGTACAAAGAAGTTCCTGTGCATGTCTCTTGAATGTTTTATGATGCCATGCACACACTGAGTAGCCAATAAGTGCTTACTAAATTGTCTTTCATCAGTTCACAAACACTAACGCACGCACACAGAGACTGCCGTCAAGAAACGCCAAAGACCACACTGACAACATCCAGTAATTTCCAAGTGGTTTTGGCATTGTCAGAGGGGAACTACCTCCTCACAGGGTAAAAGGTCAAGACTTGGTGCATAAGCCTAATTAGTTGGGCAGACTCCGCATGCCCTTTGACCCCTTGGTGACCTGAGCGATTACAGATACAACGGAGTGTGGGAATAATGGGAGAGAAGACTGCTATGGGTTGTCACTTCTAGAGAGTTCCAGTCGACCGCTTTGGAGTATGCTGTGGGACAATGGCCTTTTATCCTGTCATTTGTATTATTCTTAATAAAACATGGATTGGCCAGTAGCTAGGTAGCAAGTATAGGCGGGACGACCAGGCAGGAAGTAGAGGCAGGGCAAATGAGAATTCAGGGAATGAGGGAAGTTTAAATCTGCAGTTGTGACGCAGCCACAGAAAACACAAGATGTGACTGACTCATGAAAAAAGGTACCAAGCCACGTGGCTAACACAGACAAGAGTTATGGGCTAATATAAGTTATAAGAATTAATCAATAAGAAGCCTGAGCTACTGGGCCAATCTGTTTATAATTACTGTAGACCTCTGTGTGTTTACTTGGGACTAAGTGGCTGTGGGACCCGGAGGGACAGAAACATCTGTCAACAGGAGTAGAGTAGTTTTTTGCCATTCACGATTCCTATAGGACTCTTTTGCCTTCATGGTCTGAAACAGACTGTCGGTTAGTTAATGAAGGGGTCATAAGTCTAAGTGTCCGCTAGTTAGAAGAAACTGAATATTATCCATTCAGTTTTGCAAGTGGAAAAAAAATCAAGTGCTATTTTTCAAGGAAAGACGCCTACCCTGGTAAGAGTCAATTGACTTTAATTGTCCCGTGGAAGTACATAATGACGATTCTAAATACAGACCCGATTGTCAATTTAGCACGACAACCATGTCCTTTGCAGTAAAAGCCAATGTGTTTGGGAGTACTGGGCCCCTTACCTTCTGACTTCTCTTTCCAGGTGGACCTGCGCTTCCTAACAATGCTCACGGCCATTGCAACACAGGGAGCTATTTCCAGAGAGACCCAGAGAGGCTACTATGTCAAATCGTACAAGCTGGAGGTCAGCACGAATGGGGAGGACTGGATGGTCTACCGGCATGGCAAAAACCACAAGGTAGGTGGCCTTCCCCAAGAGTGGGCCTCTGGGGAGTTTCAGGCTGACCCCACGAGGAGTCTTGGCTTAGTGAGGCTCGGAGAACTCATGGAGGCAAAGGATACACTGTTCCTGAGATTTTCCTTTTGTATGTTAAAGTGATTGGAAAACTCCATTTCTCCAGCAGCCTAGCTGCTGTTGCATTTTGCAAAGCAGAGAGGGAGAGAGGAGGGGGACCGATACAATGTTACCTAACTGCAAATGAGGGAGAAAACGCCTCCCCCGTTCAAGCTTCCCCACACTGCACAGGACTCGGTGGGCATTTATGGCCTGAGTCTCTTCCACACGCTGGGCTAACAATCACAAAACTGCATGAACCTACAGTTCAGGAGCTACTGGGTTCTGAAAATGAAAGGACACAAAGCCCTAAGAGGGAGTCCCCGTGTCCCTGAGAAGAACCAGGACAATAAATAATGAGGAGAAATCCTATTTGTTGGGGTTTGGATCTGAACTGGCAATTGTGATTATCGGGGAAGCATTGAACCCTTCCTGCTGGTGTCTTCAGTGTCTGGGGCTCCCAGGCATGCGGTCCATGTGACCATGATGAGGCTTTTGTTGTAGCGGGGATGAGTGTCTGGCACTCGGCACTCTGAAAACACGTGGCGGCGTTCTGTGTCTGCAGCTGGCAAATGAGCTACATTTGGCATATGGAGGGCTCAGTGGAAACACTCTGTCTTCACCTAAGTGGGGACAGGAGCCTCTGTACTGGAAGTGAGCTCAGGTAATCCCCGCAGGCTGGTTGAGTCTCACATCAGGCAGGTAGGGGAGACATACTGGGAACTCCCAGAGCCAGCTGACCCTCCCACGGGAGGGAGTCAGAGTGCTGAAAACACACTCTGCCTTTGCTGCAGTCCCACCAGGTGCAGGTCTGCAAAGGTATAAAATATCAAAATAAGGCATCTGTGACCAAAAGGGCATCTCTTTGGTCCGTGTCACTGTCCCAAAGCACCACGCTCTCCAACTTACACATACAACTAGAATCCTTGGACCCAGAAAATTCAGCCCTATGATGTTGCTATCTCTCACACAGGAGGAAATGTGCGTTTTTAAAGGAGTAGGTTTTGTTGGCTTTTTTTTTTTAATCAAAAATCGCAATAGTAACAAGGCACCATTCATATGAAAGCATGGTTTCTAGACATTTCCGGCTATCTCTCTTACATACAGACTGCATGTGACCTCAGACTTCGTGTGACTAGTAAAGAAAGTGAAACATTTTAGCACTGGAAAGACACCCTCTCCTTACCTGTGAGCTAGGTCTGTAGCTTGCAGAGGCTGGGTACCAGTCAGAAGGGACTGAGTCAGCACTGGAGGCCACAGGAGCCCAGAGCTGAGTCCTCATCTCACCCCATTCCTTTCCTCCCACTTTCTCTCTCTCCACCCACACTTTCAATAAGAGAATGCTAAACCCTGGGAATTCAGCTAGCAGGTGAGGGCCAGCAGCCAGGTAGGAGTGGGTCCAGGGGAGAGGCACGAGGCTCCCTGACAGTCTCCTTGGCCAGGTTCAATGACTAAGCAGTGCTGGCCAGAGGGACGCTGTAGCATAAGCTGATTTTAAAAGCACACAGATGGACCGGGATGCTATTTAAAACACCATTTGTAGGAAATCTGCTTTTGGAAATACCTTAGCACTGCACATTTTGATAGGACGCCATCCTCCTGGCTTTATCCCGGTTATTCAATTTTGCAGGGAAGATATTCCTGAGCCTGAATTGAGCCTTCTAGTTCTTCAGACTCATCCTTTTCAATGTTTCCAGGTCGAATACATTCTCACTATCTTCTACATCCTCCTCCCACCTTTGGCAAAATGTCTCTCCCCAGTAGGCGGTGCGTAACTTGAGGGCCTTGTTTTTGGTTTTGTGTTAGAGGATCAGTTTTGCCCACATAAAAGGAGCTGGGGCAGAGGAAAAGCCCTTTCTCTTTCCCTTAGAAACACATTCTCCTGATACTTAAAATGAGGAAGGAAACGGAAAGCCTGCCAGTTAGGCTCACCCTATTGTGCCTGTGGTAGGAGGCCAGGAGGCCTTCCCCTCCTCTTACCCGGCAAGGATGCTCTCAGCAGCCTCTGCGTTAGCTGCTCCCCCAGATAGCTGTGTTTACTGTGCAGTTCCCTGGGCTGCTGGGGTTGAAATAGTGGAGTGAACCATGCCAAATAGATTTGTCAAGTCTGCCGTAGTTTGATTTGATGCCATGACAGGGAGGCAGGAGGAAGGCGGGGCCCGGAGAGCAGGGAGGCTGCAGGGAGGAGCTCATCCACCGCTGGTATTACCACTGAGTTTCTCTTTGTGGTTTCTGGATGCTGGGCACTGTGCCAAGCTCTCTGGTGTTCTGTGGTGGGTTTGAAAGTACAATTCAGACAGCAGGACTTAACGGAAAAGCAGAACAGGGAAGGAGGCTGCAGCGAGCTGGGCTTGAGGGTGCAGAGTGAGGGTTGGACACCACCTCCCTTCTCTGTGCGTAGGAAGTAGAGAGGGCACAAATTTGGAAGCTCAGTTTCAGTTCCCTGACCACTGTCAACAGCAATGTAGCACATCAAAGACCATGGAACTGGAGAAAGCAGAGAAAAACAGGATTAATGAGCACTCCAGTTGGTGGCGGAAGGCTGTGCTGTGTCACTGTGATTTTCACCCTGGTCTAAACCTGTGAATACCTTTCTTCTTCCTGCCGGGAGGTGCAGAAGACTTAAGAACCCTTTTCCAGCCTCCCTAGTCGGCGAGCAGCCTCTTTTCCGTTTCTTCATGTTCAACAGGTATTCATGAGGCTCCCCACAAAATGTCTGGTCCACGTTCCTGGCAAAATGCAACCTGCTTACGCAGACCAAGTGCACAACACACACACACACACACACACACACACACACACACACACACCCTGGTCCTCACCCTGCTCCACATGCCAGAAGTATGGAACCCAGGACTTTTATATAGGCAAGCCCTCCTTATGCATATTTAGGGTGCACCCACAAAGCAGAGAGCCCATAACCAACCCGTGTGCTCCTTCAGATTATACAAATTACTTCACATATGTCCCTTCAGGAACCACAGCAGAAACTACCGCCTTTGGTTTTCCCAGCTGTGTGAGTAGCATCCCAGATACAGGCAGAGCTGTCAATACAGTGGTAAGAAATTTCGTGTGTCCATGTGCAAGTGTGTATAATTACAGGCGCAGTTTCGTGCATACACACCAAGAAAGGTGCACGGAGAACGGGAACAGCTCAAAGGCATCAATGTTTGGTCTTCGTTCTTCCCTCCGCTAGGACTCTGAACCCACAAATTTACCCGAAAGCTAAGCCTATGGAAGGGATGGAGTCGTGACTGTCCTTTTAGTTGCCAGTGTAGGCAGCTCATATTGGTATAGTTTTGGTTACGGTCCCCTTATGTATGCTCGGCAGCTTTTTTCTATTTGGAGGTTGGGAAGCAACACAAAAGAGATGCTCTAATCCCTGATGTCCAGGTTTGAAGATAGAAAAGATAAGGTAGAATAAGCCTTGGGCCTGCGGTTCTGCACAATTACCCAGTAATAAGTGGCAGAGACATGCCAAACTCACATTAAATCAAGGACAAATGCTAGGAATTTCTGCAAACCCTCAGGCACCAACTTAGTTACTCAGAAGTTCATGATGTTTCACAGGTGAAGTTGTAGCTCTGAACCTAAGCAGCTTGCCCCAGGGACAGGAGGATCTTGGAGTCCCCAGGAAAGGCAGTCCTGGTCACCAGGCTTCGGCATGGAAGCAGATGCTCTCGCAGTCTGTCCCAGGCCTTGTCCTTGCCTTCCATCCCTTCCTGGCAGCCAGGAGGCCCAAGAGGCATGCGCAGCCTGGAGTCCCTGTTGATTAACAAGAGTCTAAAACTGGTCCATGCAGTTCAGGATTCAAAGCTAAGCACTGTGTGGGGAATTGGGGCTCCATCACAGGATCCTGAAGATGGAGTTTAAAGAAGTTGCTATTTATTTGATTTGGCGACTTCCCTACAAAACAAGTGCTCCTGCTTCTAGACTCTTCTGTCCTGTATTATTTTCTTAATGAACACAAATCATTTTGTAAATCAGAGACTTGGAAAGGGGAGTGTTCGAAGGTCACACCCCAAGTTCTGGGCATCTGCCGTGGATCTCTGAGGTGGGGGGCGATGGGGCCTTGGCTATTCCCTTCCCAGCGCTGTCTTAGTGTTCACAGCCGCCCCATGCAATGGCAGCTGCACTGGCATCGTGGCTCCTGCTGGAGGAGCACCTGGCCGTCTGCACAGGGAAGGTGAGCCGCAGATGCAATCAACGGGTCAGAACACAGAGCTCCCTTGAGCAAGCTGTCAATTTAAAATGTAACAGATTCCCATGGGATATATATTTGCCTCTTTTAAAACACAGACGGGAAGGGCCGTGAGAAGTCATCCAGGCCTTGCTGCCTCAAATAAATGTCTCCTCCTAGCTTCGTTCTTTATGGTGTGTGTGTGCGCGCGCAATTATTTCCTCCAATTAATAATTTTGAGGATTTTTTAAAAAGTCTCTTCATGAATACTTGTCTTTATTCCTTTTGTGGTTTGTCTTCTTAATGTTGTTCTTATAAAAAGACAAGAGCGTGACTCAAACCTCAAGCTAAGAACATCAGCCTCGAGAAACTGTGGGTAGGAGTGTATGATCTAAACACGGTGGGTGATATGTGCTCTGAAGGGGCCGGTGCCCTCTCCGAGTTCAGGTCCCCAGTTCTTGCGTCCCCCTCCATTACGACTGAGAGGAGTCCAGTGTGCTTGGTAATTCAGTTTGTCCTTCATCCATTTGTCGGGGGATGAGCTCAGACCTTTAGCCTCTCTACTTAGGAAGCTCAAGGGAAAATTTCATTATATATGCGCTTGAACGGTTCCCTGTCAGGCTGCTGCTAGCCAACTTCATCCAGGTCCCCTGGGTGCTGAACTGTCTCAGAGCTGAGGCCAGCCTCCCGGGCACTGCCAGCCTTGCTGCTGGCTTCCTTGTGC